TAAGTAGGAGTAGTAAGAGTAACGTGTCGCTCAGCGGGTCGGTCAGTCAGTCGATGTCGGACGACAGTTAGTCGAATACTAAAGTATCAGCGACCACAACTAGATTACTCTGCGTCATACCTATTATATGAAGTTCCTAACGTTCTGTACGTCGAACCTGTTTTTAGGACCGACTTAGTACAAATACAAGCCTCCACTGTGAAATCACTTCATAACAATATATATGTGTATGTATATTTATATATATATATATATGTGTGTGTGTCTATGTGTCTTTTTTATATCCAATAGATATGAACTGACAGTCACACACACACACACACACACACACACATATATATATATATATATATATATATATATATATATATATATATATATATATATATATATAAACAGACGGATGCAAATACATATATAGGTAGGTAAAATTATGATGGAATTAGATGTTAGCAAACTGATTCCTCCCACTAAAATCAATGACAATTTCCATATAAACATATCTCCGCAAATCCTTCGTTTTTGAGTTATTAAATTTAAAGAAAGTTTACGGTAGATGGCGCTGTGTTGTCATGTAGACTAGGTTACATTTGTTATTCGTGTACATTTTTAGCAGTCCGTCTTCAACTTTTAACGTGTGTTGTAGTAGGTTAACAGAGAGGTGGTCCGTTTAACAATGGCAGGATATTCATATCGTAAGCAAGTAGATATGATTTTTACATACGGCTGAACGAATGGTAATGGACGCGAGGCTGCACGGCTGTATCAGAATGCGTTTCCAGACTGAAGGCAGCCGAGTCATCCAGCATTTGATGCTGTTTATCGTCGCGTTACTAGGACAGGAACCACAAACTATGGATCGAGGAAGATCGAGATCCACTCGTACATCTGACCACGAAGAAAACATTCTACAGGTTGTCGGAGACGATCCAAGTATCAACACACAAGTGGCCCTAGCATGTCGTATATCTCACAGTACTGCATGAAAGGTACTTCAAGAGCAGCTCCTGTACCCGTATCATTTGCAACGTTTGCAGGGTCACAACTGGAGAACTTTTGTCGATAGTTTACTGCACAAACTGCAGATCCGTTGTCTCTTCAGTATTGTTTACAGATGAGGCAACATTTGGAAGAGATGGATTAACAAATTCATACAACCAACATTTGTGTTTGGATCGGAATCCCCATGGTACAATACATACTAGAGACCAGTATCTGTTTACGATTAATGTGTTGGCTGTAATTCTAGGTGACTGTCTGGTAGATCCATATATTCTCCCAGTACGTCATGCAGGGACTTTATTTCGAAAACACTTCCAGACCTGCTAGAGGATGTACTCCTGCTAATACGAAGATGCATTATAATCTCTGTACGACTTGAATGTTTTTTTTTTGTTGTTGTTGTTGTTTTACAGTAAGTTCACCTTGTACAAGGCCCGAGTTCACTCAAGGTAGAGGGTTCCATTAACAGGCAATTTATGCGGATAGGAGAGGAAGATAACGGTTTACTCTAGCCTTGAACAGCTTAAGATTGTAGTAATCAGAGAAACATCCTCTTGAGAGTCGGTTCTACAGAGCAGTGGTTCACCGGAAGAAACTGTTCGACTGGAACTTTCTTGTTACCAATGAAATACGAAAGGAATGTGGGTGGTTTACTGCAATGTCAGTGGCATGGTGGGATCTGGCCGTGATGGTTAGTACTGGCGAACCAAGGAATGCAGTTCGTCTGAACAAATTTCCATAGAAGTAGCGACATAGCAGTGAAAGGTTTGCCACATCCCACCTATAA